TTGCAATACAAGCACAAAAAGTCAATTTCATCAAAGAGGACGGTTTTTTGTATTTTTGAGGTCTTCTCAGTAATTTGAGTTTTACTCCACGAAGAAATGACTTTTGGAGGCTCGGAAGATGTTATTCTTAAACTGAATCTGAATATGTATAATAAAGTCAAAAATAAATTCCACTGTAAGTTTGCATTAGCTGAACTTTATATGTCAGTCTAAAAGAACGCGCATCAAAGTAAATCACTTTATCTAGATGCCGAATCATTTTACAAACTGTTTGTTCTAAAGGCACGCAACGTACCAGTATACTGGGCATCCAAAGACTTTGACAACCAAAGCCTTTGAGTATCCAGTAAAAACGAACCAGTAAACCGGTATAGATATACTGATACTGATGCATACCTAATGTAAAAATAAAACAATGGAAAGAGAAAAAACACATTCATGTCTTTGATTCACACTGAACAAAATGAAATTGTTACAAACAAAATGATTGAACTCCATTCAAATAATAGTTTGTGCCTTTTATCAAAATATGTCTGGTGAGAAATAAATAATACAAAGATAAATTTAAGTACACAGTAATCCAGCTTTTATCACAGTCAGTGTGTACGTGGTCCTCGTGCATCAACTTTTATCTCATCCAATTCGTCGAACCACGGATTAATACTGCCCAAGAGAATCTTCACAATATACTGTCAAAATAAGATATATTCGATAAAGAAGATCATTAGTTAAAGAATAATGAATATTATACTTACATCACCAAAACTGAATGGAAACATTGGACCCTGCGTCTTCAAAACTTCATTCTTTTCATTTCGATAATCATCCACAACATCAACGTAACTAAGAAAAAACGAACAACATTATTTTATGATAATTTCGACGTATAATCAAAGGTCACTCACGGAATCTTTTTATCCCATTCATTTAAGTAGCCAATAGAATGGTCATCATCTGTACAAGCAATAAATGTAACGGGAATACGGGCAATTGGATTTCGTTCCGTTAGAAGAATTTGTTCCAAAGTGTGAATATCAACGCGTCCTTGATTATCTGTCGGTTGCTGCGAATGAACTCTTTAAATTACGATTTTGATATTAATAAACTAAGTTATTTCTATGTCATATTTCTCAAAAATAGCATCATCTCACTATTTCAATATTCGATAAGTGTGAACAACATCATATCTCATATGGCTAAATGTTGATCATCCAAAACAATTTTAACTCATTTTTAATGTCTATCGTGAGTATAAATTTTCATCCTTTTGACTATTAATCATCAGGCTGTGTCAAACCTATTCAGTTAATTATATTATGTCGTAGTTCTCGACTACATCTTGACAGTTAATCTTTCTTTAAATATTAAGTCTTCTGAAAGAGTAATTAATATTTTTTGATCAATGGTTATTCTGAGAATACTGGGATATCAAAGTGGAAATACTAGTATTGTACCGCTGTTCACTCAAATTTAGAAAAAAACTGGCTGTGTTTAGAATCACAGAATATATGGATAGTTTCACGATTTTGTTTACTCAAAGTTTTTCGACAAAACATTGGGCGCTTGAAAATAGGGATCAAGGCGAAACAGTCTATAATAAAATATTCATAGTTAAACTAAATGGCAATTGTACTACGCACAACTTGTGATGTCGACAGAAACTGCCAGAATTTGCATGTGCGTGGGCTCTTACAGAATCAAAAAGGCTTTCACAAAGCCGATTTAACTGCAGCCATTATTTCAGTTGTTAAACAGCAAGAAAAAACTATAGCCATGGATTGGCCACACGAAAAAAGTAACAGAAAAGAGAGAGAGAGTTTTGTCTTCATATAATCAAAAATTAGATTTGTTAGACGCATCTAAATAAACTGAACAAAAAGAAAACTACAAAAATGAACTTTGAGTAATAACATTAAAACTAATAATCATTTCTACCTGTCTTTTTTTTGAAACAAATGGCTTCCGAGATGAAATATATGAAAAATTTCTAAATTTTTAACATATGTTTTCTTCCGCTTCTGAACCTTATGGGGCTGAATCCAAACCGTTTTCGAAAAAAAGATTCAATGGTCAATCTCCAGCGTCCAAAAAACAATCTTTCGTTTTCAGAAATTCTCTACGATGTGTAGTTTTCTAGATTGTCGCGTTCACATTTCGAAAAATCAATGACCAAAAAAATTTGCAAAAAAATAGCAAAGCAGCATGTCTGTTGATATAACAAGCTTTAACCTTTTAACAGTCAGTCTCACTACATCTAACTTAAACAAACAATCAGGCATTATGTAGCTTCTAAAGTTATTCAACTCATGTGTACAAGATCATATATTAAAGATATTAACTCTGTCCTCACGAAAACGTTTATTTGAAGTTCACAGGATTCATTCACACACAGCAGCAATCTCTCACACATTATAGACGTATAAGAACTTAAAAGTAACCTTGTGAGCTTCTCAAGGCTCACAGTGTCCTACTTTTAAACAGACAGGCATCTATTTACTCTCTCAGAAGATGCTACCAAAGACGATCAGTCCACTGCAATGAGAAAAGTACAAATTTGCAATTATCTGGATTGGTTTAACACATCCTTATGATTAAAGGGTCCCGTCAGAAATTATCTCCGACACTGTACATCCGATTCTGGCCGAACTTTCCGTAAATGTTAGGTTTAATGAGTTATGGGAATGAACAAGCGTTTTGTCTCCAGATCTTACAATTTAGGAGTTTTCCAGAGATCAAGGTCCAAAAAGGATCCTGAAGTTTTTCCCAAGATTTTTTAATATACTTGAAGCTGGAGAGTTCGGGTTTGTTTTATTTTAAACTAGACATCTAACTATATGGACCAACCGGCGCCGATTTTCCAGTTAAGTCTTTTTTGGTCTTCCGGACAACCAACAACCTCCAGAATCCAAAAAGCCTTCCGGGTTTTCTAAAAATACTCAATTTTACAAAAAACTAAGACCTAATTCAAAAATCAGCGCCGGTCGGTCCATGTTGTGTCTTTTGTTCTTTAAAACAAAAAGAATGAACTCTCTCCGACAAACCGGTATATAAAATCTTGGGAAACACTTCAGTTATAACTTCCATGTAGAGAAAATGCTGTATTAAACGCTGTATAAAATGCTCAGTTTTAACTCTTGTAAGAAAATACTTGTAACGTTTTCATGCAGGGTCACACAAAGTTGTGCGAGATCTTATTTTGATCAAAAAAGTTTGCTCTACAAGTCTGTGCGTTTGGAAAAAGATTAATTGCATAAGTATTTAAGAAAAGCTATTATTTGAAGACTAGCTTTTCAGGGCTCCTGACAAACTTGCTCGAAAAGCGCGAAAAATCATTTATATAACCGAGAGCGATACAGATTCTGAATGTAGACACTTCGGGCTATCTTCCCGTGTGCTTATCTCAAAACAGAAAATCACCATTTCTGAGGGGGAAGAGGGCTTAATAGTCGAAAGATTGAAACATTCGTACTTCAGCTCAGTACTAACACAAGTAAATAAGTTCAAATTATTTCGGTGGAGCAATATATCGTACGTACTCCATCCGTTGCAATTAAAATAAGCAGTTTTCGTTCTTGTATTTCAACTTGTTTATCTCTTAAAACTTGTCGTAATACTTGAGCGATTGGCGTCAGTCCTAAAACCAGTTGTTCTGCATGAAATTTACATTTTAACAAAATAAACTTGCATAAACATACCTGCGGGTGGAACGGCGAATATCGGAATAAGTTCTGATGAATCTTTTACATGTAACATTCGTTTTCGATTTAAAAAATATATATCAACACCATCTGGATCCAGCACTGATGCAACATCAACAACAAAAGATCTGTTTAATTATCTTATGACTATGTAGATGATATTTTTTGTCACCATTAATATTATTTTTTGTCAATTTTAACATATTTTACTCAATAACTAGTGTCCTCAGTTTTCGCATATTTTATGCATCATCCATTAGAAACTGTTTGCTTAAGTTCATCCCACCTTGATGGTTTTCTACCCAAAGGAAATGCAATATCACCTAAACCAAATCATAGTTATCGTAGTAGATTCTCACAGCTTCTTTCTTGTCTCACATTTTATCCAACATTTGATTTTTATGTATTACAAAAATTCTGAATTATATTGTTTGGAAAATCTTACCAAGTAGAGTATTCATGGATCCGGAATCATCCACAATAAAAACAATTTCATAGCCTTCAAGATTTCTTAAATACTTGATAAAATTAGGATTAATCTTATAATGGTTAATAAGCTGTTCAAGACGGAGCTTTCGTTCATTCAATGGTGTTATGTGGGAGCGTGTCGAAGATGTTGAAGAAATATACCATTCTTCCGAAGTCATCTTAAGCTTTTTGGTAATAACAAAGAATATATTAAAAATAAGAAAAAAAACTTTTAGATAACGTTGAATTATGTTTATTTAACTCCCTTCACTCAATTTACAAAGATTACACTACATCATCTGTTGCAATGCAAAAAGAGATTACTAATTGCTGCACGCGGAAAAAAATAAGTTGTACAAGGTAACGTATAATACTTAGCTTTTTATTCAAAATATGTGTTCTGAGCGATACAAATCAGACAAAAATAAAAACTGAAAGAGAAAAAATAGGCGTGTAATAGAAAGAAAAAAGTAATGAATAACAGCGAAGGAAAGAAAAAAAAGACGTTATGTAACTTAACAAAGTATGCTGAAAATAAAAAGCATTCTTTTAAATTTTGTTCTCTGTTGTTATCAGGTTAATTGACCGGTAAAGTCGATGATATTGATTCACTTATATCATTTATCAACCTTTTATGAGCAGTATTTATACTTTCAATATCATTTATTAATCCATTCTTTATTATCGATTTCGTCGTTTAATTCAGTTTGTGATTATTCAGCGATACACTAGTTAAAAAATATATTACAAAAAACAAGTAACAGTTTTCGACAGAAATCTACCTACTAGTATTTTTCAATTTTTTTTGCATAAAATAGAAGAACGTTATTTTAGTATCTGACTCTTACTTCTCATATAGAGTCATTCATATGGCGAAAGATGCCCTGGAGAATTTGATTTTCTCCTCACCTGTGAACTGATATATAAAAGTTAATAACCTTCTTCGTACGCCACTGTACCACAGGAACACACAACAAAAAATATATATTTTTCATTCTATTCTGATTAATTAGTGAATTGAATCTCAAGAAGTTTAATTAGATTAGTGTAATTAGGATTATTTATCATGAAGAAAGCATTTGTCTGAGTTGAACTTAGAGTCAATAGTATGTGAAATTTAATTTTCAGTACCTTTCCGTCTTGGCACAATGTTCAGAAACGCCTCGCCTCCTTCATACTGAAAAATAAAAATATTGTATTTCACTCTAAAGAAAGAGTTGTTTTTTTCTAAATTTATCTCAAGAGGAAACAATGTTGAAAATTAAATTTTACATACTATTATCTCTAGGTTCAACTCTGAGAAATGCTTCCTTCATGGAAAATCAAGTTACTGTATGCGATTTTCAACTAGCTTCAGCTAGTTCAAAATCGTGTTACGCAATTCGTTCCGTTCTATGATGTGTACATTTATGCAGCTAGCTGTAACTGGTATTAATACTAGTGTAGCTAGTGGAGATGGCCGCTAACCCGTTTCAATATTTCTAAATTTTTTATAGGTAGTTGCAGCAGGTTATGAAGTTAGTATACCACTTGTCCAGCTAACGGTCCCCTTTTTTCGCTCATTTTTACAAAATTTATTGCAGCTAGATAATTAAGTAGATTAAACATTTCTCTACAAAATGAAATGTGTCTCGGCTCTGAACGTTGATTCGTTATGAAAATACAACTGTTGTACAAACAGTCCAAAAAATCGATCTGAGGGCTATCTGAAAAACGTGTCCAAAGGAGTGAAGACGAGCAGGAGAAAATCGAACAATTATACCAATTTATAGAAAATTGTTTGCTCAATAAGATGTGATAGCTTTTTAAGTTCGAAGCTATTCTAATTAATATGTATTAATGAAAGAAAAAATGTGACGCTATAACACGTTTGACCGTTTTTTTTGTTACAGGGCCACGGTTTTTCTGTTTTTTCTTTAATTAATACAGATTAATTAGAATATTTTCGAACTTAAAAAGCTTAACCCGCTGCAGAACAGAAGACCATAGCCTTCTAGGATGGTTTCGCATATCGAACGTTTTTTGGTGAAAAACGCTTACTCCCTCCCCTCCGCCCCACAGTGGCCATTTTTTGCTAGAGCAGGCGGAGCTTTATAAGTGAAGGAAAATTTTATGAACCATTTTTCTGTAGGTTTTTCATGATCTTCTTTCTAATGGCATGAGAGTTGGGTTTTGAAAAAGTTTTCTAAGGA